CAAGGAACCATAGGCTATAAGTCGTTTTCTTATGTGTTGATTCGGTGTTTCTCTTGCATGATTTTATGGCCCCTATATATATATATATATAAATATATATATATATATACTTTGCTATCGATGGGGATCAAAGACAAGAAAGATGACAGGATTTAGATAGGATTTTTAAGGTAAATTTTGATTCAAATTATATTTGTTTAGATTAGATTAATTTTAACAAGTTGATAATGTTCTAGTTTATTAGAAGTTCTTTTGATTTTAGCTTCTTAATACGAAGAACTAATTCAATTCCTTGTAATACATAGATTATGTTCTCTCCCCCCATCCCATCCCTTTCTCTATTGATCGTGTTCTTTGTCCAATTGTGTTCGTCATCACCATGCAAGGAAGATGATAATACTTAATGAAATGGAGTAGAAGAAAAGGGCAATATAACTCTAGTAAAAAGACGAGCCAAGGTTGTTCCCATTTTTACAGACTCTCTTTCTTCTTATTTGAAGTTCTTTTCTCCAAATACATATTCTACACAGAAGATCAAGCAATCAAGGATTAGCTTGGGCGTATGACACTTGAACTCGAGTATGTATCTAAGGCTCCGTTTGATTGCACGAAATTTTCTATGGAACTTGGAATTTGAATTCCAACTTCCACTTTTGGCCTGTTTGATTGATAAAATTTTCCAGGGAATTGATTTTCCATGAATTTCTAGGTACAACACCTTAAAGCGTGATTTTCCACCTTTTTTTTTTTCCTAGGGGATAGGTGGTTTTTGGTTTTTCACCTTTTTTTTTTGGCTTTTTTTATTTTTTTTAATTGTTGGCAATGGGAACAAATTTTAGGAATAATTGTAAAAGAGGATATCCCTGAAATTGACAATTTCCACATAAAACAAAGTCAAACAAACATAAAAAAATACTTTTACTTCAACATTTTCCACGTGAAAAATTTATACAATCAAACACAATAATTTACAATTTCCATGAAAACAATTTCTAGGTAATTCAATTCCTTGGAATTCATTTTCTTTCCATGTAATTTTCCTACTTGTAATCAAACGCACAAGTGTCGGATCTTTTATTTTCTGAAATGTATGATATAAAGACATAACTAAAAAGAGTCCAAATTTCAAACGCGTGAGTATAGTTTTCAAACTTCAATTTTTTATTATTTTTTTTAAACAGAAATTCACCCATAAAAAGTTAAATAATAATTTTCTTAATTATATATGAGTTGATGCTAAATTCATGTTTCCTTTCAGATTGCTGTTGCTGTTTGAGTACAGCCCACCTACATTACCCTAGCCCAACTAATATAACCCAATATTCCCATGCCTACCATTCCATATAATACAGCCTCAAAGGGAAGAATCTCCATCTACTCATAACCCACCAATTAAACCAGCCTCTATCCAATATCCGCCTTTAACAATTTCAGTTGTGCCTCGATTGTAATCGAGTCTCTACCTTCCAAACATCATTACATTGTCGACACGTCTAGTAATTTCTTCGCAGTGTCACTACTTTGTCAGCCTTCCTATGCTGTCGTGTACGATTGAAAACATGCTGATCGAAAATAAGAATCGAAGTATCACAATACAAAGCCCAAAATCAAGTTTTAGTTTACAACTTCTTTTTTACCTGTGATTATATAATAAGAATTTATTATTTGGAAATTCTTTAATAAGAATTTATTTTTGGATTTCATGAGGCCATATTAAATTTTTAGTGGCGAAAATGATGACACAATATGTCAAGACTTGAGAAAACATTAGAAGGTTCCGCCCTGAGTGGTTAAACAACGATGTCAATAACGAGATAATGATTAATTATAACTTATTGACGAGAAGGAACAAAGGTATTTCTTGCCTCATCATCATATTATATATATATATATATATATATATATATATATGATATTCAAAATCGGTATGTAGGACCTTGATGCATTCCTAGAAGGCTATCAACAACACAAAGAGAAATATTGCCTTATGTAGGAAGAGTTACAACGCATTTCTGCAACAAATGGACAATAGCTATCAACTCGATAATGGGTTACCAAAGGCAACTCATTAGGAGATGAGATTGTTTTAAGGTTTTCGAAAACTAGAGTTACTGAACTTGAGCCTGATAAATCTTTGGCCTGTAATATTTGCCTGGTATGCAGTGTTAGCTTTATATATTTTGATTATTTTTATACACTTTCAATTAATTTTTAATATTTAGAGATTTGACGGTTTATTAACTAATATAATGAACGGATAAACAGGATTTTAAGAATAGAGACACCAATGCTAAACAGTAATATTGTTATAATCGATTTCATGTTAGTTGCATCGAAGTCTTTTTTATTTTTTTGAAAAAACTCGTTGTCCCACTTGTAGAATTGTAGACTTTCAACAATGGATAGAATATTCAGAATGGATTAATAATTGATAAATCCTAGGTGAACGAACATTTTGTTAATCCACTCTGAATACTCCACCCGTCGTCGAAAATTCACAACTCTACAGGTGGACAACGATTTTTTTTTAAAAAAGCGAGTCTTTGATGCAATCGATATGAAAACGATACTATAGTACAATTCAGTAATAGTATATCTATTCTTAAACTCCCCCCCGTTTATCCAATCATTGTATTAGTTAACAAGCATTTAAATTTCTAAAAATTTAATATTAATAGAATATGTATAAAGATAATCAAAATATATAAAGATCACGATGCATACTAAGCAAATATTACGAACCAAAGCTTCATCGAGCTCCAGTTTAGTAACTCTAGTTTCTAAAGATCTTAAAATAAAACCTCTCCAGAGTTCCCTTCAGTAACTTTTTTATCAAGTTGTTAGCCACCGTCCATTTACTGTAGAACGCCTTGTAACTATTCATGTCTAACGTGGTGTTCCTCTTCATGTTGAAAATAACCATTCAAGAATTCATTAACTCCTACGAAATAAATAATTTTGAATGTCATAGTCAATACACGTGCAATGCCAATGATGCGGGAAATGCTTACTTTTCGTCAATGTTTTATAACTGATCATTACATAGTTATCGATGTCATTGTTTAACTCAAGCGGAAGTTTCTAATATTATTCTCAAGTATTATTATACTATGTGTCATTATTTTTGCTACTAAGAATCTAACACGGTCATGTGGAACCAAAAATTAAATTTTTAATAAAAAATTTCCAAATAAACCAATTCTTATCATATTATAGAGCCCTTGTTTGAGCCCCATTTTTTTTGGAAAGAATGAATTTTTGAATAGTGTATTGATAAAAATGTATGGTTAAAAAATAAGGAACAATTTTGGATTTACGTGTAATATTATTTTATTGAAAAATGTGTAGTTAAAATGATGTCAAAATACTATTGAAAAATGAATTTTTCCAAAAGAATGGGGCTCAAACAAGGACATAATCACATGGACAAAAGAACTTAGATCTTGTCTTCAAAATGAAGACCAACATTCTTGAGACCGATATCTTCTAGATAACGAAACATTAACTTGTTTTTGACATCTTAAAAACTGTTTAAACCATAGAAGTTTGGACATAAAGTGATTAGTGCATGTATAAAAACATTGCCCACTATAATACATCTCATTACAAAGCTTACAAATAATGTCTTTCTGCAAGCATATCCTCATCATTCATGTCGAGATTACTTGTTGCAAAAAATTTTACTCCTTTGTCATCATTAGAACTCTGCACATATTGTTGAATAGTACTTGAAAGCATAGCAATCAGAAGAGAAATCAGGGTGCGTAATCAAAATTATCAAATAAAAAAATTCAAATCCTATATAAAATAATAAACTCAAATTAAATACTTTATTCCTCGACAACGGCGTTAAAAACATGTTCATGCAAAACCTGCAAGTCTATGGATCGTTGACAAGTAATACGTTATAGTTACATGTATCGTTCCACAAAAAATAAATTTCAATTCAAATTTATTAGTCATGTATGGAATTCGAATTATGTAAACAAAGAATTTGATTTTATGCTAAATTATCTACAAAACTTAGGTTTTTATCAAATCAGGGTCGATTGTATTGGATTTCGAATCCGCCTATTGTTAGTTGTTTCAATTCTTGATTTGTAATTTAGTTTCATTCATGATAATTTAATAAAACTAATGTATTTAATTTTCTTTTTCAAGAAAAATTAATTATATTCTAACCACGATTCAAATATACTCTTAACCCGAATTTTGAATGGTTAGAACGCATCAAAGTTTAGATTATCTATATAATTGTATAAGTGATAAGTGTTATTCCTAATCTCTATTGCACACATGTTAATTTTTAACGCGTTCTCAATTCATTACGAGTCTCTCAACACTCAAATAAGTAACTAATTGGTGGCCAATCAACTAAATAATAGAATAGATATGCAAAGTTAATTAAGAATCACAAGAATTAAACTAATGTATTAGTCTTGAATTAGAAAATAACAAATAGGATTTATCTTCATCTAATACAAAAGCGGACCAAGCCTAATATATTAATCTATAAATTACAAGAAAAATAATACAAAAATATCACCTGGATCATGAAATAACTCAAAAGATGTAATTGAGCTTCAATTCCTTATTATGCTTGATATTTTGATCATAATGTTCTCTTTCGATGCTGATTGTGGTGATTCAAAGTGTATTGAAAAGATAACTTAAAGAATTACATTTCCTTTAGAAATACAATTTTTTCAATTCGAACGTTTTCTATCCGTAAGATGGGTCTCAAGAACATAACTTATTTGGCTAGTTGATCATATGTGATCTTCAATAACAATTTTATGGTCCATATCAACTACTGAATGTTTACACTTTGGTTTCCACACTTTGCATTTCTTTTTGCCCCTTTCTCGTAATTCCACTAATTTGCATTGAGTTCAACCTAACAAATATAATTAAGCTATAACTCATTCAAATCACTAAACAAATACTTCAATTTATTGGCCTGAAAAAGTGTACAAAATACACTTATCAATATCATTAATTGTATACTGTAAAAAAATCTTCCTTCTGAACAAAATTACACAAGGTACTATATCTTGTAGAGTCGTTAAAGCGTCGAAAAACTAAGTTCACACTACAATCAAGATGTTTCGCAAACAAGAAATTGCTGGTTCTCTGTAACACAAAGCAACCCTTGACCGAACAACAATTATAACAGAAGTAAAACTCCTCCTTACCTCTTTTTGTTAGAGCTGACAATAGTATCAAGAAACTCTTGCACAAAAAGACACACTGCCCTATTTCACATTTGATTTCAAAAGTCCAACAATAGCAAATTACATGGTGGTGAAAGAGATGAAGTCACAATACCGGCTCATGTCACAACTCCAGCGACTGTCTCCATTTATTACTCATCTTCCTTTCAGCTTTCCTGTCATACGCCGTCCTGAGCCTCATATTCATATCTAATAAAATTTCTTCTTCATTCCTTATTTGCATTTTCCTTAATTTAGTTAGAAGCTTTTTAAACTTTGCTCAGTTAAAATCCTTTGCTTCCGCCTTTCCAAAAGGTATGCTTCCTCAAATTCTAAAGTATGCAAGTAATTAATTTATCTTTAATTGAGGTGGGTAATTCATTGTTTGCCTTTTGAATCTCATGCTTGAATTTTTGTATATCCTCAACTGGAAAAATACATCAATCTCATAACATTTAACGTCAAATCATCAAAGAAATGAAATACTATATGATATTCTTCTCGTCTAAACTGGCAGCTTTCATCAAAATTGATCAACTTCCTTATATATTTTTAAGTTCTGCAATATCCTTTTTGACATTTCCCTTTTCAGAACTAAGATCTTGTCTTCAAAATGAAGACCAATATTCTTGAAATCGATATTTTCTAGATAACGGACCATTAGCTTGTAAATGACCGCTTCATTGATAAAAATATAAAATTTAATCATTGATTAAAAGGGATAATTGCAGCAGAAGCTCCAAAATTTTGAAACATTAGCAAACTTTCTCAGAATCTTTGATTTGTTGTAGCCATCACCCATAACCTTTCCAAACGTTATATCTGAGGCCTCTTTTGGACTATTGTCATCCAAAATTTCGTCAGTTGAACAAAAATTGATTTTTACCATATTTTAACAATTTTTAAAGGGGTAAAATGTTAAATTAAAATAATAAAAAAAGGAAAAATAAAATTGATTTTCTTCCCTAACCTACCCCAAATCAACCCAAACCAAAATCATTGTACTTGTCTCTCACCATTGGCACCAAAGGAAATCGTTGACGGTTGCTAACGCCAACACCCACACACGCGCCATAATTGTAACCACCGCCACCACCAATACTCATATTCATTTTCCAATAAATAAATTAAAAACAAAAATGGCTAAAAGTCCACCGAAAAACTCATCTCCGGCGACGCCCATGGTCGCGCACTACAACCGATAGGTAGCTCTCATCCAGACGATAAAGATTATGACCTAAAATTAACTAATAATGCACCATTTCGTTCTGAGGTTGATCTAACAGATTCGATAGTCACGAACTCGAATCTCCCTCCTCAGTTCTTGTTTCACGCGACATTAAATCAACCAATTGGCATCAGTCGGTCTTAATCAGGTCCCTATGACCTTGGGTAGCATTCCAATTTCACCAATTGTTCCAGAAATCTCTCCAATTTCAGATTCAAAATTTGGTACCCTTCTTGCGCGAACGAACGATAGCGTCCCCATTTCAGTTGTGGAGTGGGTTAGATAGGAAGAACAATTTTTATTTTTATTTTGTTTTTTTTATGTTGATTTTAATGCAAAGTTACCATTTTGCCCCTTTAAAAATTATTAAAATGTGGTCAATCATTTTTTGGTCAACTGATGGAATTTTAGATGAAAACCGTCCAAAAAGACCTTAAATGTGACGTTTGGAAATATTAGAGGTGATGACTGCAACAAATCAAAAGTTTGGGGAAAGTCTGCTAATGTTTAAAAGGTTTGGAGTTTCTGCTGCAATTGTCCCTTTTAAAAAATGATTAAATTTCATATCAGTGAAACTGTCCTTTACTAGCTAATGGTCCGTTATCTAAAAGATATCGGTTTCAAGAATGTTGGTTTTCATTTGAAGACAAGATTTTGGTTTAGAAAAGGGAAATGTCAAAACGGATTTTGCAAAACTTAAAAATATATAAGGAAATTTTGATCAATTTTTTTATGAAGGCTGTCAATTTACACGAGAAGAATCTCATATAGTAGTGAATTTCTTTAATGGTTTGACGATAAATGTCATTAGATTGATATATTTGCCCGGTTGAGGATATTCAAAGATTCAAGCATAAGAATCAAAAAAGGCAAACAAGGAATTACCAACTTCAATTAAAGATGTAATCAATTACATGCACACTTTATAATTTGAGGAAGCATACCCTTCGGAAAGGGGAGAAGCAAAGGATTTTAACCCAGCAAAAATAAAAAGCAACTAACTACATTAAGGATAAGGAAAATAAGCAATGAAGAAATTTTTTTACTAAATTTGAATATGAGGCTCAGGAAGGTGTATGAAAGGATAGTTGAAAGAAAGAGGAGTAATAAATGGAGGTAGTTGCTGGAGCTGTGACATGAGCAGCTATTGTGACTTCATCTCTTTCACCACCATGTAATTCAGTATTATTGGACTTTTGAAATTAAATGTGAAATAAGACAGTGTGTTTTTGTACAAGAGTTTCCTGATGCTAATGTCAGCTCTAACAAAGAGGTAAGGAGGAGTTTTACTTCTGCTATAATTGTTATTTGTCAAGGGTTGCTTTGTGTTACAGAGGAGCAACAATTTCTTGTCTGCAGAACATCCTGAATGTGGTATGAACTTAGTTTTTCGACACTTTAACGACTTCGCAAGGTATATTACATTATGTAATTCTGTTCAGAATGAATGTTTTTTTAAAGTATACTATTAAGGATGCTGATAAGTGTATTTTTGTACACTTATCTAGGCCAATAAATTGAAATATTTGTTTAGTGATTTGAATAAGTTATACCTTAATTATGTGTAAATTATGTTTGTTAGGTCGAATTCAATGCAAATTGGTGAAATTAGAAGAAAGGAACGAAAAATAGGCAAAAATAAAAGAAATTCAAAGTATGAGGACCAAAGTGTAAACATTCAATACTTGATATGGACCACAAAATAATTATTGAAGATTACATATGATCAATTGGATGCAATTCAAAGGTCCAAGGAGTAAAATAGAGCTGAAGTATTTGCACAATTCAATTTTCAGCCAAAGAAGTTATGCTTCAGGTGTCAAACCATAGCCTAAAAAATTAATCTATATTTCCTTTTTTTTTTGTTTTTCCTCTCTATTTTCTGTTGATCTTATGGCCAAAAATTCAATATAAAAAAACCTATACAAACTGAAAATACACACATTCTTAATATGCATAAAGTATGAATAAACCCATATCAAGAATCCCAACAAAAAAAAAGTTGAAAATAAATAAAAAGACAGATTTTTTTCCCTAGTTGACTCTAAAAAAAATTAAAATTCAAGACTTCTTTTCTGCAACACATATCAAAAGTCTATTTACGGTCTCATCGGAACAATCATCAACAAACAAAACTCATACACCGAAAATTAATGAAATGACGAAAACTCAAACATCTAACACATAATTTAGGGATTAAGATAAGATAAACCCATACCTTTAAAATTATTCAGTGTTAAAACCTAAAAAATCCCCACACAGTCTGTACGGGGACTCCGCACCAAGATTGCTAAAAGAAGTCATATTTCACAATTTCTGTCAAGATTGCTAATGCATGAGATATACAAGAGACAAATGAATTAACAAGATAAGAAGCATTTTAATTTACATTAAACCAAGAATATACCTCTCTATTTTACACAAAAATCCAAAATTGTGAGTCGAATAAACAAAATTATAATTATCAGATAAAATCGAGGATATACATCTCTATTCACTCGAAATAAAAAATTTTGCACCTAGAATTTTGAATAAAAAAAATCATAATTTGAGAAAAACGGCATGCCAGGATTTACCTCTCTATTCACGAGAATTTTGCACGAAGAGATTAATCATAGAAAAACGAGAGAAGAATTGAAGAAATGAGAGAAAAAAATGATGATGATGATGATGATGAAGAAAGCTTGTGTCTGGGTTTGCGTGGAGAAATGGCTTCACCGTTCTTTTGAGTAAGAAAAAATGGGTATGGCTAATATCTACAGTGAAATCACTGTTTAGCTACAGTAGAAGTCCGAACACTATTACAACTATAGTGAATCCATAAAAAAATCTTACCGTCAACCCAAATTTTCTTCATTTTTTAATCATGCATTCTCAAAAAACTTACCATTTAAAAATTCATTCCCCCCCCCCCCCAAAAAAAAAAAAAAAAATGGGGCTCAAACAAGGACTTAGTTTAAATATAAGTTTAGGATAATTAATCCTGATAGGTAATTCAATGATCAGGCCTACTGTTATTTATTATTAAAAAAAAAATGTTTAGGATAGTGACTACCCCCAAACCTTTCAAACAATTGCAGATTTTTCCCTAACCTTTCATTTATTGCAACCATCAACCTAAACATTTCAAAATATCGCATCTAGAGCCCAAAATGGATGAATTCGATTCATTTTTTTAATAAATTGACCCAAAAATTAGTTTGACCATATCTTTAACAATTATAATGAAGGTAAAAAGGTAACTATGTAAAATAATTAAATAAAAAATTAATTAAAAAAACTGAAAGCTTTCTTCTCCAAACACCCCATGTCCCCACTCTCCACCCCAAAAAATCAAACCTAAAAATCCAACCATCACCACGTCAAAGTCATCACTTGATCTTTTCTTCTGCCAAGAAAATAATTGAAAAATATCAAGATCTAAGCTCATAATCAAATCAAGACAACAGTATCTATACTACCTTCTCATCAGCCTGAGACCCAAAGTCGAAACAAATCGGCCTCAAGACACTCCCATAATCGCTAGTGCAGTGAAGAAACAAGAGTAACCATTCCTCAACTCTCTCTTGAAATTGTCCCTTCACCGAAAATATCCACTCCATCACCAGCATCTACTTCGTCCCCGAGGTAGCCTTGTACTCTTTCGCTTTGAGAGCTTTTTGTTACTATCGTCTTTCCTTCTAAAAAGATCGAAAACCCGACTTGCTAAAAAATACAATGACCGACTTCTGAATTTATAAGTTTGTGGTTGACTTGGGATTAGAATCAACTGATGGTGATGAGTGCAATCTAGACAAAGTTGGGCAGCTTATAAATGATTTAATAATGTGCAAAGATGCCTCCAAATCAAGCATTTGGTTAGATTTTAGCGAATTTGTTTCTTATCTTCTTATTTTACAAAGGGTGTTAACAGTGCTTTTTCTTGGAGGGTTATTTTTTAGCTCTCTTCAATGGAGGCTGAGGTGGTGACGGAGGTTGTGGTTCTGTTCCGAGGCAGGGCAGGCGGGGGATTGGGGAAGAAGAATGTTCAGTTTTTTAATTTCCATTTTTTTTTT